CTGCAGTTCTTACCAGAATGTTCAGCCTCCAGTTATTTGTACCTCACCAACCCTCCGAGCCAAAGGGACACACAAAAAAGCGGTTGCCTGCATACACACACCCTCTATAGCATCCAAACCTCTTCTTAGCTAATATATCATGCAGCAAAGGGTTCCACAGTATAACCACCTTTTTACTAAGAACTTATTATTAGAGCCTGCTAGTCTACAGCTGCTATTTCTACCAAAATAAAAACTAAGCACAACAGCTCAAAAATAGGCAAGACCCTCCTTAGCTTCTCCAGATTGCTCATGTCTTCTGTTCTTTCTTCTTCTGTCAGGTAATTTCATACCTGCCTCCATCATCTGATGAGGCTTGGGAGCAGGACCAGGGGAAAGAGCAAAGCACACAACATTGCAAATGTATACTTGCAGTGTACTGGAGCAGTGGCATAACAGCATTTTTCTTTTCCCAGGATTCACTTGTTTTCAACTACTGTACAAGAAAACTGTTCTAACAGAACCCCAAATATCCCTCAAATTGCAAGTCTTAGAGGCAATCCATCTCATAGCCCACAGTAGGTCTGCATTAAATAGGATTTCCAAATCTACCATTCATTTACAACCAATTTTACTTGTTATGACCCAACTTACTCCAGAAAAGTGAAGTATCTCTACATGTTTGCAGGTGGCCTTCACTTTTTGTGCCATGAATAGTTCAGTACAATTAAACTCCTCTTGCTATTCAGTGCTTGTTCTGTTCCATATAATCACTGCCAATTAGGAAAAAAAAACAGCACAAAGGGACTTAACTCTGAAAAATCATCATTTTTTAAATGAAAATTCCTGTATGAAAGTCCAGAGGGAAGAAACAACCAGCATCATTCCACAGAAGTCTGCTTTACGAGCCTTTCATGATGACCTTCACAAACTCCTTTTGAAAAATTAAAACAGGAATATTTACTTAGGATAAAGTCTTCTCCAAATCAGACTCCCTCAAATGACTGACAAATGTGAAGTCTGATCTTTCCTTATGAAAGTCTTACTAACTATAATCATTAGTCTGTTATCTATTCTCCACAACTCTGTCATATTAGAAGAATGCAGCTGGCCGGCATCCTCACCACCTCTCTTGAAAGTCCTTATCAAGGAAATGGCCTGCACTTTTCCTAGGCTGCCTGTCGGTAGCAGCACAGGAAACAACCACATCACTAATCAGTCTTACAAGTTACACCAAGAAGACATTACCTGACTGCTCCACACTCCTCTCCATAAAGGAAGGCACCTTTAATGACTTCAAACACCCATTACTCCAGTGGTGGATTACAATGGTTACCTCAGATATGCTATTCATTTCATTTGGGAGGTACTAATTAGCAGAACAACATACCTCCAAAATTATGGAGTCTAATAGTTCTGTAACTCCCTCACATCATTACTAGGAGATTGATTACTCTCATGGTTATAATCCATTATTATTTAATTAAATAAAATCTTAAAGCTTTTAGAATTCTACAACTAAGAATTAACTTCTATAAACACTTGTATATTTATATTTTATCAAATAATAAATTTCCCAAGATTATTGAAGAAGTTGGGGAACAAAAAGGACATTACAGAGAAGTTAAACAAGTCTTCAGATAGGGTACTTTAAATAACTCCTAAGATTTCCTCACCCCTCATGGAAAATACATGAACTATGCAGCAACAAATCACTGCTTCAAAGGGATATACTTGCAAACTTTTTGTGTTTTATTACTTAAGTCAGCTGCAATTAAAATAGCAAACCTTATTTGATTCAACTACAAGGTGTGGAACTCACTGAGAAATCAAAGGATTAGTTATTTACAGTCATTAAACTATACCCAGTTATATCAGACATGAAACAAACATCAGGTAAGACCTTATACTGTGCGTTACTGGGCAGACACCAATAGCTATTAGAAGACACAAAGTGTTCCTTAAAAATGAAACAATTCGGCAAGTAAGCCATGAAAGTATTACAAGAAACCCAAGGCTTTCCCCTAAAGCACTTATAAAGACTGCTAACTGTACTCTATCCAGAAAGAGCCGATTTGATTCCATAAAGCCAATGTTTAAACTAACTCTAAGATGACATACAGTTTACGATCTGGATTCTAGGATGAAGGCGGGGGGGATAAAAAAAAATCAAAGCAGCTTAAATAGAAACATACTCTCAAGGCAAACCTACAAATCTATTTTAAATACACAAAATAGAAGATCTGACTAAGCTTACTCGAAGTAAACACCAAATACACATTACCAAACTTCAACCTTAACAAGAAACATTTCTATGTTACCACGAGTATGTGTTTTAGATTTTATCTGCCCCATTAACTAAAAAAAATCATCTGAGCTAAAGTCTGATTTTAGATGGCAAGAAACACCAGCATTCCTGTATTAATTCTTGTTTATGATGCCTTTCTCTTTCTATGACGGGGAGCAGTTTCAAACACTTCATCCATGCTTTCTCTGAGAGAAGTTGAAGATAAAAGCTTGAAGCTGCTCATCCCCTTCCTCCCAAATAACATCACACCTGCAAGCACCATCAGATCTTCCAGGGCAAGAGCAACTAGTCTGAGGAAGTGTCTGCAGAAGAGTCTTTGTCCAAGCCTAAGAAACAAAACAGACTTGGAAGTCAGGACAGCAAAAGAAACGAGCTCTAGCACTACCTTACAGTACTCCTGAACAAACAGAGCTATTACCTATGCTACAGTTCCTATTACTTCCCTTATCACACAACTTCTAGTTTTAAGTCAGCTTGTTCAAGCATTGCCAAGCATGCATGCACACAAATTGATGTGGCTTAGAGACTATTTACTCAGCTTCTTGAGCAGACTTCACAGCTTGCTCTGAACTCCAAGAGGCCACAATAGTCAGAGCAGCTCTGTCAGCTTGGTTTGCAGTTATGTGGGCATCTTGTTCAGACTGTTGATAACCTGTCTCACATGTTACATACACACACCAAGTCACTCACTCCAAAGTATTTCTCATGCTCTCCAAATGAGTTTCCCATTTCACAACTGCTAACTCTCTGCAGAGCATTCATAAAAATACTTGAGTCTTAATATATGAGTACAGTTTCCTTGCATCTGTTCCATTTCATTAAATCATTACACGTTTGTAAGGTCTTATTATACAACCGCCCACATAATCCCCCCAAATGCCCCCCACTTCTGAAATTACTAGGGATGCTATGGGTATTTTAAGTATTCTGGCAGTGCCAAAGTAAGCAAAAGCTGGATCAGTTCAAGAGCCTTTAGCACGACAAGCTATACTACTACATTAAAATACTGAGACATGTCAAGCAGCCAAAGGGTTCTCTTTTTACTGTGTAGACATTAATATTCCAGAAAGAGAGTGCATCATGAAAAAGAGCTAGCTAGAAGTAATAAGAAGTTAAGTTTTAAGAAACAACAATATATGAAGAGCCAAGCCAACAGTTTTGTGATTAACACTTCAGGAACTGTGACTTGACACTACACAGCACCAGGTAAAGCCTTCTGAAAGCTTTGAAAAGCAAGTAAACTTCTGTATCCACTGAAGTTTTATGAATTCCTCTTCTCCTTGCCTAAGCACTAATTCACAAGTTTTATCCACTTCTTAATGCAAAAAAGATAATAAAAAAAAGTATGCCTAAATTATGATCTCCCAAAAAGCCCTTCCATGGTTCAATTGAAAAAACTTTACAAGTGACTGCTACTGTGAACTTGTTCGCTACTAGTGAGAATAATCACTGAACAGTTCTAATATTAGTAATTTATTTTTAGCAGAGAGAAAGAGGAGTGCTAGAATGACTTACTAAGATGCATACCATAAGCATGCAGTAAGCAACAAATCCCCATTAAGAACCATTAAGTTTTTTAAAATCCGCACACTATCCAAAGCAGGTAAAAGAAAACAGCTCTGAAGCACCTGCTGAAATGCACCGGCTCCATACAGCGTACACAGGCTTACACACTGTTTTGAGTTCAGCTTCCTGAAGCCAAAATGCTTACCTCTCAATCACAAAGTTATTGAAAAGAGCTAAACCAATTCAGAGATAAATCAAGAAATTTGTGCCCGCCAACAAGATTACTTAGTGTGCTGCACAGACGTCCTCTGCCTGCAGACTGGCAAACTGACACAAAACACCTCAATTTTGTTGAGACCACAACTCCATTACTATCACACTGACAAGTTCATGAAAAGGGGAGTGTGTTACCTCGTCTGGTGGTTGTGTTTTCTTCTGGGGAGGGGGGAACAAGGGCTTTTTCTTTACGTAAAGTATTAGCATTATCAAGGATATAGCGATTGAGTACAAGCTTACAGCTAAAGTGAGCTCCTCCTTTAAAGTTCTCTCACAAATACTCAACGTCCTCTAGACTACGAAGCCTCAAAGAGCTCAAGTTGCCCAGCACATAAAAGTTAAGTCTTCCAAAGGATGTACAGAACCAGGAAAACTTCAATCCGCCAGACGTCTTCAACTACACTCGAGATTGCTGAGCGAGCGTTAAATCGCTTTAACCTGGTCCCTTACACTAAAACCAATGCTCTTGCGGGAAATAAAGCACCGATGTAGATCAGCTCAGCAACAGCAAAGCCCTGCTACGCGCGCCCCGTGCTTCGCGGTCTCCTCCTTGCCCGCTCCGCGGGCGGGAGCGGCGGCGCAGCCCCGGCTCGCCCCGCACTCGGGCGGCGGGCGGGGCGGGAGGCGCCCGGCGGCCCCGGGGAGGTGCTGGCTCCCCTCCTCCTTCCCGCCCGCGGGCCACACCAGCCCTTCCCGGCCCCCGACACGAGCAGGGGGGGACTCGCCCGGCCTGCTCGGCGGGCCCCAGACAAAGGAAGGAAGGAAGCGGGGACGGACCGGGACGAGGAGCCGCCGGCAGCCCGGCCCCCCCCACGGGGCGAGCGCGGCCGCCGCATCCGTGTTCGCTCAGCCGGGGCCAACTCCGGCGGCGGCGAGCGCAGTGACCCGGAGGGCACCGAGCGAGGCCGGCGTACGGCAGGGAGGAGGAGGGAGAAGCGGCGACGGGAGGAGAGAGGAGCGGCGCCGGGGGGCTCACCAAGATCCGCTTGAAGAGGTTGCTCTCCTTGGGCGGCAGCGGCACGGACGGCATGGCGCGGGCGGCCGCGGGGCAGGCACGGCTGGCAGGGGTGGGGGCGGCCGGGCGGCGGGCGGTACCAGGGGCGGGAGGACAGGGGAAGCGGGGAAGGAACACCCCAAACTCGGCGGGGCGGCGGCGGCTCCTGCCCGAGCGGCGGCGGCTCTTTAACTCATAGCCCTGCGCCTCCCGCCCGCCCTCCCTCCCCGCCGGCTCCCCCGGGCCCCTCTGCGCAGCTGCCGCGGCGGCCTCGCCGCCCGCCTGACGCTGCAAAATGGCCGCCGGGGTCCCCTCGGCGCAGGCGCACTGCCGCTTCCCCCTCACGGGCACTCCCTCCTCCCCCCTCCGCCCGCCCGGCCCCGGGGCAGGGAGCGAGGATTCCCTCCGTGATTCCCGGCGCGTCGGCGAGAGCGCTCCGGTGGCGGCGCTTGGACGGCTGCCTCGGGGAGCTAGGCTGCCCGGACGCCTGCGAGGCGGTGTTGGGGGGGAGCGAAGCGTCTGCTAACGGCGGGGCTCGGGGAGGCTCTGCGGGCTTGGTGTTGCCCTGGCTGGTGTTTGAGGAAACCAGAGGAAAGTTAAGCAGTCAGACTCTGAGCAAGGTGGGGCGTCATTAATGCATTTTCAGCGGTTGGTTATGTAAAACCTCCCGGCACCGTCCCGCATGCATGGAACACCGGCGTTTGTTCATCGCTTGGCTCTTCTGAAAATACGTTTCTCTTCTTGTTGTTCCCAAAATTCGTCCTTAAAAAACAAAACGAAACCCCCACAAAACAAAAAAACAAAGAAACAACCCACAAAAAACATCAGCAACCAGGAACACTAAAACCACATGGCCTGGAAGGAAAAGTGGTTAAACTGTCCAAGTTACAACCAATTAAAAAGACCATCTTACAGGTGAAAAAAAAAACCCCGACGGCTTCAATGAAAATCTCTGTTTATGTAATTACCCTTTAAAAATATTAATTATATTTTGGTATTTTTAAAAAGTATTTCAGTTCTGTAATAATATGGTTATCCTACTACAGTCCCAAATTATGAACTCCACAGATACCTGCAGTAAAGCAAGGGTGCAGAAAACAGGATATCACAAGAGCCAATTAGAAAAACTGTGTACTTAATATATTTAATTTGGTTCACAATAAGCAGATGACTGTGACTGAGGACACTGAGCAGCATGTCCTTGACTTGACACAAGCCTTGCTGAAGCTGATGACATGGTAGCTGCTTTCCTTTCAGGCTAAAGGAGGGAACAAGAGAGTAGACAATTTCTTGGAAGAGAGTAACCTGGATGTCAGCTTAACTTAAGAACTACTAATTAGGGAAAAAAAAAAAAAAAAAGAAGAGAGGTATGTTTAGGAAAGCTCCAGAGATGAATATAGCAAAGGTGTGGAGAATATAAAGCATATGCTTTCCTACAGTTCTTCTTAGTTGAACATTAGCTTATGACCACTGTTTTTTGCGAATGGTAGTTGGTTTTCATGGTGTTTTGTTAATCTGTCTAGATATATGATCTGTAATAAGGAATATCTTTATTGTATTTATTTCTCACTTTTTTTATTCTGGCATGCTTTTAAATGATGTCAGTCACCTGGGTTACTGAGAGCAATAAGTGTATTTTCCACACTCAGTACCCAATTCTCTCTTCTTTCTACTGTATGGTATAGTAGTGTTGTACTGGGTCTGATTTTTACAAAGCAGGGGAATTGTTGACAGGGACGGCCAACTTGGCTTTGCCCTGGAGCATCATTTTGAGAGCCTGTTTGTACCGTGGCATGTCTTCAGCATTTTTTATAACTAGCTGAAGCCTTGAATTTATGAACTCTAGTTTCTACCTTAGCAAAAGGCATGCTTTTGCCTCTGGCTGGGTTGAGTGATAAACAGATGCATCACTGAGATGGGTCCGGCAAATATTATGCTAGGAGGACCTTTGGTCTGAAGCAGTAAGGCTGTTCTTGACAGTTAAAGGGCTCTGTTTCCCCGCTAGTCCAAACACTGGAAAGAATGCTGCCCGAAAACAGGCAAATTGCAAATAAAAGGCAGGGGTTCAATTTGCATTTAGATGTGTCCGTATTAGAAGTCTGTGTTAAAAGCAGCAAGAAAAGAAAAGCGGGGAGGCAATAAAAGGAACGTTTGTAGACTAGCCGAGAGAGAATAAACAAAGAAATGAGCTTTGTAGGGAGGCAGAGCTCCAGTTGAAAGTGAGGTTTGGGAGCGCAGTCAAGAAAACTTCTTGTCATTTAATCCCACTGTGCTGGGCAAAACAAAGCTCTTGCTACAGGCTTTTTTAATAAACAGTACTGTATTCAAGACGCGTATGATTCTGTCACCGGTTTTTTCTTCAAGCAGAAGGAATTCAGAAGTCTGTTGACATCTGTTTGAGCTGAAAGGGGGAAGCCATATTAAAGTGATCTATACATTGTAACAAGATTGTGATTTTTTTTTTTTCCCCCCCCTGTAGCTCAGTTTACTCCGTGCCCTGTAGAAGTTGTGGCAAAGTGCTTGCACACTGTTAAACTCAGCTAGGGCCCCCTGATCGAAAAAGGGCCTTTGTTTAGGCATGGACCTGCCTTCAAGCCAAGCATGTTGTAAAAGCCTGGAGCCTGTTCTGTCTGATGAGCCATTTCTCTGCCTCCAGTTTCTAAAGCAATTGACAGGTTGAGATTGCCAGGTTTTAAAGTACAGGACTGCCATCTCTGTCCGAAAACCCTGAAGACCGGCTGTCTTCCTGCTGTCACCCTTCCCTTCTGCCTCTGATTGCCCTGGAGGCTGCCATGGTTGCTGAGGAAGGCAGTGGCACCCTGCCCCAAGCAGCCCATGCTCCATAATCCTGGTCCTCACCAGCTGCTGCATCAGTTACGCAGGTTTTAAGGCATGAAAACAAACTGTGAGGGGTGTGGAAGCACAGACAGCAATATGGTTTTCCATCCCTCATGTTCTGTTCCTATATTGCAGTCTAAAAGCATACACTAAACTTAGGGAATGAGTGAATCTTACATGTCCAGCCCTTGTCTTGGCTGTGTGGTATCCCTGTGTGATCTGCTGTCTGATGGGAGAGGAGGGGCGTGGGAGTTTGTTATGGTTTCTATTTTCACAGCTAGCTTGAAGAACAAGACACAATAAAAATCGAACCATGATCACATTTAATCAGAGGTTTTAATGCAAGAACCATTACTGGCTGGAGTAGAAGCTGATTTGATTTTACTTGGCCTACCCTATTCTTTTAAAACCAATTTTGAAGCATGTGGTCTGCTTGCAGTTTCATGTTCTTATTAGGTTCTTGGTTGTCCTCCCACAGATTACCTTCCCAAGATTCCTGAGTGTCTAACTGCATATTTGATACTTACCAATGCAAGTGTAATTTTATTATTTCATTTCACTGAGTCCCAAAAGTCATAGTGAAAGATGAGTGAGGCACAGTGGGGATGGCATCTGGCTGATGGCATCTCTCATGGCACAGCAGTGCAGGCTCGGGCCCGGGGAAACAATTTGGAGGTTTCAGGGTGCTGTTTGCTGTGGCCCTTTTGTAGATTGGACCAGCTCCAGGGTGGGTCCTGTTCTCTGAAAAAGCCTGTACCTCCGCCTGCCTTGCCTTCTGTCCCAGTGGGTGGAGCAGACCCTGTCCTCAGGTCTAAGCAAGCAGTTAGCTGTCATTCATGCTCTCGGTTTTGATCCAGATCCTCCCAATCGACCAGTCTCAGTTTTCAGTCTTTTGGAATATTTACCACACCAAACCCGAGTGATGTTTTACGTGCCAAACCCCAAAGTTTTGCCCTTTTTTATTTTTTAATTTTATTTTTAGATCTTGTTGAATGTCAGTAGCTGGGAAGATTTTCTTAAGTGATTTTAGGTAAACAAAACTCAATGCTACTGAAGTATTTTTAAGATTTTAATTAGGGACGTAGTTGTATAATCTGTTTAATATTATCTAATAAAATGTAGATATACATAGTGTGTTTTGAAACATACATTATTAGGAAACTGCAGCCTACTAGCACAGTGATAATCGGAATGGTTAAGTTCATTAATATTTTGTAACCAGTGTTTGTCTTTAGTATCATAGTAATAATTCATTTTAAATAGAATAGTGAGCTTTGACATAAAGTGGAAATTAATTTTATTTTATTCAGACTTCTGTGAAATGAATCTTTTAATAACCGAATTTGAAACAATGATGATTTTCAGGCCACGTTTGGGGAAAATACATGAAATGACGTGTGTGTAATTTGATCTGACTCTTGCCATTCCTCCCAAAGGTGTTGCTGAAGTCACAGTGTGTTACTGTGCAGCTCTGAGGAAGGTACCGAAAACGAAGACCTGTTTTTAAGGTCACATTCCCCACTTTTTGTTTTTATTTTATTTTTTTTATTTCGGGGCTTGCGTTTCCCGCAGCAGAGCAGACGCTGCCTCTCCCGCTGGCAGGGCTCGGGCGATGCCCGCAGACGCCGGTCCCGCCGTGCGGCGGGGGGCCGGCCGGCCGGCAGCACGCCGGGAACCCTGGTTTCCCGGAGGCATGCTGGGACTGGGAGTTCTCCCGCTCCACTTCCCGTCTGACATGGCCTCGCGTGCGGAGGCAGGATCGGAGCGGCGCCCCTGTGTGCGGACGGTGAGTGCCGGAGCTCCGGGCGGCTCCGGGGAGCGGAGCCCCCCGCGCTGCCGCCGCCGCCGCCTCCGGGGCTCCCTGCTCTGGCTTGGGCTCCTGGCTCTTCCTGCGGCTCCCTGCTCCTGCCTGCGCTGTCCGACCGTAACCCCTGCAGCGGGGGAGTGCTGCCGGGGGGACGTCCTGCGGGGCGTTCGGGGGGTTAGCTCGGGGTAGCCGTGGTGGGGGGCAGAGGTGTGTGTAAGGCGGACTCGGGGGCGCGGCCTCCAGCTGGCCCTGGTTCAGTCTGTGTGCACTGAAGCGCATCCTGCTGCGTATTCCTCTCTGCCTCAGTACAGCTGTGTGCAGTTACTAGCATCTTTGATTGCTAGAAACGCTTTTTATAACCTCTTAAAGCGTTCACGATGTTGACAACTCTTTCCTGTCTAGGAAATTACAATTTCATAAGTTATTATTATTTTAATGAGACAATTACAGTTGTCACTTTTGCTTACCGGTTTTGATTTGTGATGTGCACAAGGTAATTTTGTGGAGTAAAAAAGTTATTAAAATCTGTTTTGGAAAGCATTTAATAGGTCGTCTACTGCTCATAGCTCTATAAAAGCTTTGTGTGTGCTTATTTCTGCACAAACGTCATGCGGCAACATCTGTCTGAGAAGAAGATACCAGTTTTATTTAGCATAGCGAAATTATTTTGAAATTTCCAACTTCATTGAGGGTCTGTGTCATGCCATTACTCAGTTTTTTTTAGGCATTTCAAATAAAAATTTTAATTTCTGGGTCCTCAGGCAAAGCAATACTATGCATCTATTATTATTTGAGTACATTGCTTTTTAATTACACTGGTAAAAATTAGTTAGATGGTTATAATTAATACATTTACTGAATTAATTAAAATTAAATGTAACATTAGTATTGTAAAACTGAGTTAATGATGGTTAGCACTTGACCAGACAGCAGTGGGCCATACTATCCTGGAGCAATTCCAATATCATCAGCAGAGTTAGTCTTTTGGAACTGAGTCCACTCATGCCCCTGAGCAGCTAAATCCAGGATTGTAGATAATGAGCACAGTTTTTGCCTTTTGCTGTGTTCAAGTGAAGGGAACAGGATCTCTGCTACAGCTGGTTTTAGTCACTAGAGCAATCCATGAGGGGTATAATTGGCTTTCCATACATTAGAGCAGTCCTGAAATTACCACTGTGGATTCCATAGCAGCTGCTGGCTGGGGAATCTGGGAAAGTGCAGAAGTAGAATAAATGTCTTTATCTCCTTCTGTAGACAGTAAAACAGGCATCCTGGCAAGCAAGGTGCAGTACTTCTGGGTTTGCTGCATATTGCTCTTTCTTCATTGTGGACAAATGATGAAAGTAAACAGGCGAGAATAATGGGTGAGTTGAGTAGGCAGAGTGTCACAGTAATGTGTTAATAAAAAGCCTGAAGATGCACAGAAGGTCTTGTCACTGATGAGTAAAACATAATTGTGTCAGGAAACTGAAATGTATGTTCCAAGGAAATCCTGCTGCAAAAATGTTCATGCTCTTATTTTCTCTGAGTCCAATTCTTTGTAAAAATCAGCAGGCAGATAGGACTGTGGCAATGGCAGAGTTATTAGGGAGCACTTGTTTGTTAAATCTTTTCTGTGTGATTAGTTCTAGAATATGGACAATCTCAATTTAATCTTCCCAGTAGACCCTTGTGCTCCAATATAAACTTTTAGAGCACAGTAGTAATTCATAGCATAGTTTGCAATGTTGATGATACAAAAGGAAGAGGAAAAGATCTTTTCTAGAGCAGTAGTGATGCTAAGGGGAGCATGTGTCCTGAAAAACTGTAGGCCAAGTGTCACAGAAAAATACACAAGTTATATTTCAGAGTACCCACTTCTTACTTTTTGTACAGAAAATATGATGTCACTTACATGTAAATATATCATGGTAAGGAGCATATGGGGGAAATAAAGCACTATTCCTGTTCTGCATATATGGCAGAGTGATTTCTTGCAAGTGTGTTGCAGTCCTATTGACTAATCTGTTGTGTGGTCAGCTACTAATGTCCTCCTGTTATGGTGGTGGATATACCTTGGCACGTAATCCTGGACCTTTCATACATTCTGTATATAGAATTCTTTACCTCTAGTATAGATTTGTCTTCTCGGCAACATTTTTCTTTGGCCAGTAAGGCATGAAATGGTTGGATTTTTCCGATGAGACATATGGCAAAATGAAGCTGTTGTCTGTAAAGCCACATCCACAGTAGCTTTTCCAGCATAAATAAACCATTTGAGGAGGTGAGAGAAGAGACCTTTTCCAATCCTAAGTCAGTACAATGGTGTTGGTAAGAGTTTAAACTAGGACTAAAACAGGAATAGTTTTGTCCATGACAGTTGCGTTTGTGTTGGTGTAGTCACAACTAGGATTTGGGCTTGACAAAGCTCTTGCATTTGTTTGTTGTTGTGTTGGTTTTTTTTTTTTCAGTAGAATGCTTTCTTTTTCTAGATAATGACACTGTCTACTTTTAATTTCAGGTGGTGGGAAAATAAGAAACAAAATGAAACCTTTCCAAAGGGTCTGTCTGTTCAAGAGCCTGCTTGTCAATTGCTACTGTCACAGTCAGTTTCACAGCTGTCTTCTCCCTCCCGTTGCAAAGAAGATAGGCTGTGTGGTGGGGCTGCACAATCATGGATTTTGGAGGCCAGAGTCTTTATTGGACACAGCTAGATTCACTCTGTCTTTTAACAGTCGGCATAGGAAAATCCATCAGGATTCTCAAGCTTTGTGGAAGCATGAGGCTGTGCAGAAGTATCTGGAGACTTTAAGCAAGGAATACCAGCAGGTTAGTCATCTGTTAAAGGCAGACTCATTGAATGACTTTGAGCAAAGAACCCTGAGGAGAAGATATGCAGATCTGTCCCCCATTGCAGCTGCATTTCAAGGAATCAAAGAAGCTGAAAAAGAAGTTCAAGAGTTAGAAGCTATGTGCAGAGGTAAGGAGAACAGTTTCAAAACAGTAATTGTTTCAAAACAGTAACTGTGTTTGTGATAAACTTCAATTGCCCAGCCTTTGAGGAAAGCTTGTGAATAAGTTCAGCCAGCCCTGGAACACGCTCTGGTCCTTCCTGTTCCTGGGTTTTTTGCATCCAGCCACATCCTTCCCTTTTTCATCTTGCTTCACTTTAGTTTGTGGTCTTAATACAGTCAATTTAGGAGAGTAGGGATCGTCTGGAACCTTACAGTCATCTGTCTAACAGAAATGACTAGAAAGTGTTTGTATTAAGGTTATTTTTTTGGTAAAACTGAAAGCAGTTTGAACTGAAGCAAAGTATTTACTGAGCCTGAAACATCTGATAGATGCAGACCTCATCTGTCTTATTTAAAATGGGAGTCCATCTGGCTAGTTCATTGATATTTATTGAGCAAATTACATGAACTTTCATTAGGCTCTGAACTGTCAGCTTCCAATTTAAGTGGCAAAAGCTACTATTTCTTTGAAAATATTTGGGGAGTCCTTTAAGGAATAAATCTGATGGTTGTCTAAGAAGCTGTTGCATTTCAATACTCTGCTACAATAGAAGTTGGAGTA